GTCGTCGGCGACCGGAAGTGCCGAGCGTGGCGGAGTGGCGGAGCGTAGCGTGCATCAACCTGGATCCTGGATCCGCACCCTGGGTCCCTCACGGTCCCTCGGTAGCCGTCCAGCCGTCACAGGTAATGCAGGTAAGCGACGACGAGCCCCCGCCGCCCCCGCCGCCCCCCTCCGCCTTTCTTCGTTTCGAGGAAGGCTGTGCTCTACCAGGCATGACGCCTCACACCTCTCCGGGGCTCACCGGGTGCCGGTGCCTCCGGTGCCTCCGGTGCCCCAAAGTCCCGGCCGATCCAACTCGCCTTCCGACATCCTCCCAGTCGTGTTCGTCGCTCCGTCTCTCTCGCACCCATACGAGACGCCCCATGAGTGCGAAAGAGACGGAGCGACGAAAACGACTCTCGGAATCAGTCAGCAGCGCATCGTCCAGCGCGAAAAGGGAGAGAATGAAACTCCCGGCCCTGCCAGCCTCGCCATCCCAACTCGGCGAGCCACCACCAAGTTGTTGTTGCTGTACAGCCACGCAGCTGCTTAGTCGAGCACGCGCGACTCATTAAAAAGGTCACTAGCGCGGCTAATACATGTGGGCCCGCGGCTCCGCGGAGCGCGAGCAACAGTGAACGCGAATCTCCCTGAACAGGCAGCCTGCAGACTGATTCTGGGAGTCGTTTTTGTAGCTCTGTCTCCCTCGCACTCATGGCACGTGTAGGTGCGAGAGAGACAGAGCGACGAAAACGACTCTCGGAATCAGTCCACCGGCCACGCTTAGGCTGCTTGCACCGTTTACGCCCTCCAGGCTCCAGGGCGCGACGGACCGCGCTTCCTGTCACCAGCAGCGAACGGTAGTACGCGCCGAATTAGGGCAGGTCGACACATCGGAGGAGGGGGGGAGGGGAGCTGCACCGGAACAATTGACTCGGGTCATCGCGCTGCCCGGCCCGCCAGTGGCCCGCCAACGGCCCGCCGACGATACGTTTCGTACATCTGCCTCTCTCTTTCTCTTTTCGAGTGCCTCACGCTCGGGCCTCTCACTCTGCGGCTCCGCGGACAGGACAAACGGGAGGCGGCAGCAAAATAAAGGAACTGCGGATGCCTTCGCAAAACAAGAAAAATAAGTGCGTGGTGCCGCGGTGCCCATTCGGCGAGGCTTTGTGGGATGCACGCCGCGCCGCCGGCCCGCCTCCAGGGCCTCCAGGGCCTCTGGTTCTAGGCAAGGCCGTCAAGGGCGGAGGGACGGACGCTGCACTGCAAGGACTGCAAGCAAGCGCCCACAGACAATGTAACCAGCAGTCGCGAGGACGCGGGGCGCGCGGGGCGAGGGGGGATCGAACAGCAGCGCCCAGCCCGGGCCCCGGGCCCCGGAGCGGAAAGCGGCACGGAATGCAAATCATTTCCAAAGAGAGAGACAGAGACAGGGAGAGAGTCGCAGTGTTGTGCTGGCCGACAAGCACGCTGCCGGGTGCAGAGAGAGAGAGAGAGAGAGACGGAGAAAAACGAGTGGCACGAGCAAAAAAGGAGACAGGACACCTTTTCGTTGTTTGGCCGTCTACCTGTGCGCACTGCAGCTGCCGCGCGCCTTGCGGTGGCGTGCCCTAAGGTGCGCGGGGGGAGGGGGGAGGGGGAGGAGGAGACAAACGTTTTGTTTGCCGAAGAAGGGCCGCCACGCCGCCATCATGATGACCATCATCACCAGCATCTCGGCGTGCCTGCAGCAGTTCCAGCAGCCCGCGCGACTTTTGAACCAGCAGCGACTGTCGCCCTCGGTTCGAACTCCGAAACACGAAACGTGCCGATTGGTCTGCTGGCACTTCGGGCCGCCCTGAAGAGCAGCGAGAGACAGAGCGACAAGGCACTGCGTGGAATCATCCTGGTTTTGGCGGCCTTCGCCTTCGCGATGGGCCAGCTGCAGTCCGCAGTGATACACTTGTCTGACGATTGGGCGGTCTCTGTCGCACCCACACGGCACGCCCCACGAGTGCGAGAGAGACGGAGCGACGCCAAGACGCGGGACATAGGCGTCGCAAGGTCAGCGTGTCCTGGAACGAGCGGCAAGCGGCACGCCAGTGGCCTACAGTGGCCTACAGTGGCCCAGTGGAGCGGGCGGGGGATGGACATGGACAACTAGTGGGAGGGACTCAACGCGATGCGAGATGGGGCCAAATGACCGAGACCGGCCGACGGACCGGCGGAGAGGGCCGAGAGGGCAGGGCCGTTTGGCTGCCAACCACACTGCAAAAAGACTTATAGCGCGCGCACTCGCACACACGGAGGGGCAGAACAGAGAGAACGCAACAGCGCACACAGCGCACCAGGCGGCACTCGCCAAACATTCAGCCAATTTTTATAGCGGGGGAATTCCTGGCTGCAGCGGTACTGACTCACTGCGGCGCGACTTTCTTGTTTTTAGTTTTCCTGCTTTTATTTTTTTCCCGTGATGCCGCAATTAGCTCATCAAGGGGATCAACGCTTGTCCGGCCGAAGGCGGCCAAAGAGGTACCCTACCCGACTCGGTCCATTCATTTTGGCAGCGAGCTGCTGCTTCGGATAATTGTTTCCGGCCCGCTCCCGGCCGGATTCCTCTGAGAGGGGGGGGGGGGGGCACGCGCACACACCCGCGTGTGTGCGCACACTGGAGTAGTGATCGCGAAGTCGCGAGGGCACAGGACGAACGGGATGTACAGTACAAAGAGCCCTCGCGTCGAAATTGCCAAACTTGGCTTCCATCGGCCAGGCTGCAGGCTGGGCCAGGACGCCGGGAGGCACGCGGCGCGCACGCCACGCAAACACACGCGAGCGCGCGAGCGATCTGTTTGGGAGCGGTGGGGCCGCGCACGCGTGACTACAGCAGGCAGCCTGTATTGGAACAGAGCGGAGCGCGGAGCGGCAGCGTCGTTTTGTTTACATCCGTTGATGCGAGCGAGCATCAGCAACTGTTTCTGGGAAAAGGGACGGACGGGTTGGGGTTTGGGGTTCCAGCGGGCAGTGGCGTTTGGCGTTTGGGGTTCGGCGTTGGACGCACGCCGCGCACGCCCACGGCGAGAGGGTAGCGCTGAGGGGAATTACTTCCACTACACTCGACACACTCCACCTCTCAACCTTGGCTTGCGAGGGATGCTGCCCGGCCCGCAGCCCGCGCCACCCCAGCCGTCGGGCACGGTTGAACGGTGGGCCGCCGCGGACGCACACTGCGAAAAGCAAGTTTTACTCGGGAGCGGGCAAGTGCACTGCAAGTGCCGGGGTCGACAAAAAATAAACAAGTCATCGACCTTTCATTTCGCAACCTGCCGTGTTTTTTGGCTAGCTGGAAAGAGGAAATAATTGCTGCGCGTGGCAGGCGCGCGTAGCGGCGGAGAGAGCGTGCTTTCCAATAACCGTCGCGGCGCTTAGATAACCAGGAGGGGGTTGGGGGAGGCCGGGGACAGCTTCCGCCGCCGTCCGGAGTCCACGCCCTGCCGGCCTGCCGCCCTGCCCGGCGACGCCGTCACGGGTATTGTCACCCACCAGGGCTAGGGGTGGGGAAGCCCTTCGAGCGACGCCAGCGACGCGATGTCCGCGAAGGGAAATGAATCCGAGTCGGCCTGACAGGACACTGCTGGGATGGCGTCCCTTTGCCGCTGCCGTGCCATCGCCGGGACGAGACGACGGCACGCAGGGGATGGCGGGGCGGGGCGGGGCGGGGCCGCACGATGCACATCAATAATAATGTCCTGTCCGTCGCGCCGCCGCGCGCCACCGCCACGGCGGGGACGATACGATGGCGGCCTGCTTGGCCTGCTTGACGCGCTGGCGGGAGTATCGACGCGACGCGAATAGAAGCGTCCCTCTCTCGCTACCGCACCAACATCATCATGGCAGTGTTGTGATGTTGACCCCCCGCCGAGGCGAGCGAGCGTGGGGCAGGCTCGCCCCGCACACACACGCACTGGACCTTAATTCCAGTCGCGTGTGTGAGTGGCTGGTGACGCACCCGTACCCCTCCCCTCCCCCTTTGGCCCACGGCCACTACTACCCCACGCCAGTGGGGGTGCCGCTAAAACATTAGCCAAATTCGCCCGGCGGAGTGGCGTGGCACAGGGACTCTGATTAGGGAAAACGGAATTACAGAAAAAGAAGGGGGAGGGGGCGCTTTGGCTGCCTTAAAGTTTGAACTGCTCCAGACTTCCAGTTGGGCCTGGAGTCCCTGGAGTAGACCCAACGCATCAAAAGATGGAAACGGGATTGCCGGGGAAGGCGTGGCGAAGGCTAAGACGCGGCCGGAGTGCGTGGACACGGCGCGATGTGGTGCGGGATGGAGGAGCACTTCGGTGCGCGCTCCCCGCTCCAGATACGCCCTGAGTGGCGGGACGACGGGACGGGGTTGGAGGCTACCCTGCTCTGGAGCAAACGCGGCCGGCAAAGGGCCGTTTCCTCGCTCTGGCTCTTTCGCACTCATGGGCGTCGCGCAGGGAGCGAGAGAGATGGAGCACCGGCAGAGCGACGAAACGATCCGTCAGAATAAGGTGGCTGGCCGCCAGGGCGACGTCTGAGCGTGGGATCCTGATCTGAAGCCACTGCGATGGACAAGTGCACCGCTGCGCTGGCCGCCGCCACCCACGCAGGCGGACAGGCAAAGAGGTGCAGAGACCGGCGAGGTGCAAGCGGGGTGCAAGCGGGGTGCAAGCGGGGTGCAAGCGGGGTGCAAGCGGGGTGCAAGCGGGGGCAAGCGGGGTGCAAGCGACGCCCGCACCGCCCGACGCGCGGGGAAGGACATGCCGCTCGGGCCGGCGGTGCACGCCACGACGGACGCCTCGGTCCAGGGACGACGCCAAGGTCGCGACGGTCATGAAGGTGCCCGCAGGCCGCAAGGCGTCGCTTCACAGTCTTCGCAGTGCGGCGGAGGGCGGCGCCGCGGCGTCTGTGTCCGAGGGGCCGCGGGGGCCGCCCCCCCCGGCCACGCGCCGACGACGCACGCCGGCAGCGCGCGCACGGGGCCGAGCGGCCGAGCCGGCTTGCTGGAGACTCACCTCAGACAAGTCGGCGTCCATGCGCATCTTCTCCTGCACCGACACCTCGCCCATGATGCGGGCCTCCGCCACCAGGAGGGCGGCCAACAGGGCCGCCAGCCCCAACACGCCCACGGCTTGCATCACTGTCACTCACTACACTACCGCACTGGCAGACTGGCACCACGCAACATCCACACCGACCCCACGATCCGCTCTGCGCCACGGCTAGCGACGGACTGGCTGGCGGCGCGGCTGGCGGCGACTGGCTTCGGCTTCGCGGCGAAGCTCCTCTCTAACTTCATTTGTCGGCGTCGGCGCGGAGCACGGCAGGCCCGGCGGGGTGGCGCGGGGAGCGGGGTGGTGGTGGCACCCACCCCCTTCTCCCCCTTCCAGCGTCGCCTCCAGCAACTCCAGCAGACTGCTACCGGCTCGCCGACGTCTCCCCCACCCCCACAGAACAGCCTGCGGCGCGCGTGCGCCGAGCTTCGCGCTGCGCGAGGTGGCGGGTGGCTTCGGCTTGCGTTCGAGGTGGCTGGCGGCTTCGCTTCCGAATCCAAAGGGTGCGCCGATAGGGAGATAGGGTTGGGCCTGGACAGTCTACCCTGAAAGGGGTGACTTATTGGGTGTTGGGTTTGACCACTCCGCATGAAGACTGCAGCTGGGAGAGCTGACTTGAACTTGAACGTGTTCGGAAGTAGGTTCGATACGTAGCTCCACAGTCACCATGGTCTTCCCTCCGCTGGGAAGAGGGTCAAGTATAGTGTGTGTAAGAAACAATGTTCCTTGAGACAGGGCCTCTTCAAGTAGTGCAGTCTCCTCAAAATCACCTCATAGTCCTTGTATTGATACAAAATTAATTACAGTGTTTCACATGAATTAATAGGAAACAGATAAGGTACTAAAGTACTGAGCAATTGAGGAGATTCCTATCCTCTCTAACATAGATTTGTCACAAAAGACTAACAGATTTAAAAACAAAGCACAATAATAAATTTATTTTTTGTTGTGGTTTAATACCTGATGACAAATTAGCTCCCCAGAAGTTTTGAATGTTTTATCACATTTAGAACAGGGCAATCCTGTATCTGGTTGAGCATTTGGTTTACTTGTGTGGTTTAGCACATTATGACAAATGAGTTTACTTTTGTCCGAAAATTGGACCCCACAATGTTTGCATTCATGCACAGGTTTTTTCTTTACCAAATGTTCTTTCATGTGTTTTCTCAACGATTTCGCACCTAAAAATGTTTTCCGGCAAACTACACACTCCTCTTCCTTTTTTTCTGTTTCATCCTCTTCTTCTGATACATCCTCTGCAGTATTGGCTTGTTGCTGTAACAGAAATAGTTTGGGTGTTTAAGCCTTGCTGTTCTGACGATTGATTGATTTATTATTCAACTTGTCTTGGCTGAGACAAGAAAACAAGATCAGGAGAAAATAAAGGGCAAAATTGCTATTTAAAAGAATTATATTTCAATTGGACAGGGGCTCAAAAAGGAGAAGATACAAGTTATTTCTTTTTGTGAGAGAGCACCTGGTGACAAATAAGTTTACCAGAATTAGTGAAAACCTCATCACACTTGTTGCACTTGTACTCTTTATGATTTTTTCGACTAAGGACACCTTTAGAATTATCATCTACAACTACAGGATCACTCTTCACAGTTGGTTTCTCACTAGGATTTTTTGATTTTTGATTGGTATTTTTATGATGAAATTCTTTGTGGCATATTAGAGCCCCTTTCTCTTTAAAAGTTTTATCACACTGATTACATTTTAAAATAGAATTTGTGTTCTTCTTGTGAACTTTCAGATGCTCCAGAAACTCAGTGTTATCATCAGTTTCAATGGCACAAAAAGAACACCGGAAAGTAGGCTTTCGATTTGGTGGATCAGAATTCTTCGCAGAGTCATTGGCACCTTTTTCGGGTGTGCCCTTACAAGTTTGCGAATGAACTTTTAGTTCTTCAAATGATGTAAATGATCCTTGACACGAGGTACATATTCTTATGACAGCAGACTTTTTGCAAAAATTTCTTTTATGGTACTTCCAAGTCTTAAAATTTGGAAAGCCACACAAACAATCATAACAGTACCATGTTTCATTGAAATGGTCTTCCATCTGGTGAGATTCAAGTGCCATAGTGGAAGGAAATTGCTTCTCGCATTTAACACATGTACCCTCTGGTAGATTTTTTGATGGCTTGGGCTTTACCTCAGGTGTAGGTGACTTGGCGGTAGACTTGGTGGGTGACTTGCTAGGTGGCTTCATAGGTGGCACAGGTGATTTGCTCTTCTCCTCCTCATCACTCTCACTCTCCGTCTCCGGTTGATTAACCTGGTCCTTGTATTCCGGATCATCAGGATCCGAATCATCCTCTGATTCGTCTATAATTATTTTCTTCTTCGGAAGAACACCGGTAGAGCTCCGAGTAAGTCTGTAAAACACATTTTCAATTAAAAAACAATAATCAGGGACATGTTTGACACACATAAATTAAGATAAACAAATACATACCTTCGTTTTTTCAACTCCACATCTGGGGACGGCACTCTGCGCTTGCGGCCTCTCCTTCTGCCACCAGCATCAGAAGCACCATTCCCGAGAGAATCGTCATCAGGATGATTACTGGCACTGTTTTCAGGAGGATCATTTTCTTGATCACAATTTAGAGAAGCACTATCATCAGTGGGAGCAGCATTATTGTGAGAGGAGTCATCACCGGGAGCAACAACATCTGCACTGCCTGCTTCAGAAGAGTCAGCACCTTTATCACCATCTCTTTTTCCATCTTCTAAACTTGATTTAGAGTCATCAGTATCCACTTGGTTTATGAGGTAATCAACTGATGACTCCACTGAAGAATTGCTGCCAGGAGACTTCGGGGACTTTGCATCATTAGCTTTCTCCACTTTCACATCATTTTTGAAGAGAAATGGTAAACTGATTAGTGGCACAAGCTTGATAGGTTCCGAATTAGGAACAGGCACTGAGGCCACCTGGTTCGCGAGTTCTTGAAAGTCCTTGGGCTCCTCTTTAATTTTCGTCAAAATTGGTAAGTTCTATAAAGAAAGTGGCAAAAATCAAACTTTACCGACAAGGCAAACTTAATTACAATTCTTAGAGCAAGAAATTTGTCATAATACCCTTACCTTTGGAGATCCGATGCCTTGGGCTTCGGTATTCCGACACATATTCTTGAAATCATGGAATTCTGTCAATTTTGTCTTACACAGAAGACAAATCGTCTTTCTGCTGTCACTCTCCTTCACCTGCAGATCAAATACATAAAGAGATGAGAAATTAGCTAGCAACGAAATTGTATCTTGGCTAATAATTAAACAACACAGAACAATGATCCGGTCATCCATAATGGAAAATGACATCAGGTTACAGGTGTACCTGCTCAGTAATATTGAGCTGGGTGGGACAAAAACATGGGTCGATAAAAAGTAACACGAAACGGTCCTGCTATATTATTGGGGACGTAAAATGGCAGACCGATGTCATTTGACATGATTCCGACGTGCATGCAGGTGAGAGTCTTCATGATCGCCTTGCTAGCGCGTGCGCATGCACACAACAGGTACATGCAGGGCAGAGTCACATACCTCTATGTTTAGAGTAAAATTTATCTTGTATGGCAGGTATTCTGTGGTACCAAAAATTGGTATGTCGTCACTGCGCGCAGCACACAGCCGACACAATTCAAGGCTCATGATCGAGGAGAACAGGAACAACGTAACGAACAAGCACACACTCCACTCCACAGACTCCACTCCAGCTGAGCCGCAGCCGCACGCGCCGAAAATGCGGCATGCGGCTGCGCATAAACGATTTCTCATATTATGTCAAAAACAAAAACAAAAGAAAAGCGGGAATCTGGAAAACCGAAAAAGAAACCACGGCGCGGAACAGCATCTTGGTTTTGTTCGTTCCAATCATTAAAAATTTACAGTCTGTGAAGTTTTATTTCATTTTTGAATCAAATTTTGCCTAAATGAAGCACCAAGATGTGAAACTATCTTGCCCAGTTTCTCATAATTGTTTTTCATTTGTCTTCACCTTGTTGACATGTTTTTGTTGTTTCTTTTCATGTTGTTGTTGACAGGAAGATGCGTCAGTAAGGTTATGGTTGTGTTGTGTCATTTTTTTTCTTTTACGAAACGTTAAACGATTGTCGCCTGCCCTGCGGCGACTGAAAATCGTTCAAAATGATACGACAACTTTTGAAGCGTATATTTCACTGGGGCCCTCTAGCTGCTTTAAGTGAGTAATATGACCCTTGACGAGAATACGGACTACTCTACTAAGAGCCAGTGACAAAACATCTCCCTCTGGATTGCAGGTATAATAAAATGCATAACTTTCATGACAATGCATTGCTGCAGCATGTGGTGGCCGGCTTCGCAGTCGTGGGGCGGGACGATCAACAGCGGAGTGTTTCTTTGCTGCAGCTTGCTCACCATCTACAATTTCCTTAGTGCTATGATGGAAGGACCAGGATTCCTTCCTTTCAAGTGGCGGCCCAAAGCGGAGGAAGATGAACAGCATCTGCAGTACTGTGAAGCCTGTCAAGGATACAAGGCCCCCAGAGCCCATCACTGTCGGAAATGTGGCCGATGTGTTGCCAAAATGGATCATCATTGTCCTTGGATCAATACTTGTGTTGGGCACGTCAATCATGGACATTTCACAGCATTTTTGTTCTGGGCGGTACTAGGCTGCTTTCAGTCTACTGTAATTTTAAGCTGTTCTCTGTATCGTGGCATTAACAGGGTTTGGTACATGTACTATGGTACCGGGAATGAGCCTCGCGTTTATCTGAGTGCCAATTCATTGTTTTTCTGCATATTTGCTTTGGGCCTTTCTGTTGGAGTTGTTTTAGCTGTAGGTATGCTTTTGTATTTTCAGATACGATCTATATTAAGAAACCAGACTGGTGTTGAAGACTGGATAGTGGAAAAGGCTCATTATCGTAGGGTTGAAGGTCAGGAAAAATTTGTGTTCCCATACGACTTAGGATGGAAGGAAAACTGGAGTCAGGTAATGAATTGGTCCTGTGAACCTGTTGGTGATGGAATATATTGGCCTGTTCGAGAAGGGTGCGATCAGTTTACCCTGACTAGAGAGCAGCAGGAACAGAAAAGGGAAAAGAGAGAGCGGACCAGATTGTATTCAGTCATTAACAAATTTTCAGGTTGGCATCTTCCTTTTGTTAATGGTTGGGGTGCTCTGTGTCATGTTCCATACACAGATGAGCCTCGCATTAAATTAGACATTGGAGAAAATGTATTTGTCACTAGATGGAGAAAATACTGGCTATTTGGAGAAAAGGAGGGTGCCGAAAAAAAATCGAGAGGCTGGTTTCCTAGGTCATGTGTTGTTGAGGTTTCCTGTAATGAAGACTGGAAATCTAAATAATTGTAGTGTGTTAGTTAAAATAGAAACTAAAAGGCTGTCAGGTTTAAAGAATAGCACAAGACTTAGCTTGTGATATTTAAAAGTACTTAATAGTATGAGCTTTTCAGTACTCAGAGATGTTTTTTCTTAAGAATATCTCTAATTATTCCTTTCTCTGACTGTTCACCTTTGGTCTCATACTTTCTTGTGACTTTATCAGTTCATAAAAATAAAACTTTAAGAAACCAGAACAAATAATAATAACCAAATGGTGAAGTTATGAATTTCAAAAGGGTGGGTGGGGTCTCTCTTCAACTTACTTATGTTAACATATTTATTTATCAGAGAAAATTTAGTTTGTTAAATGTATTCTGAATCGTGAATCTAGTCATAGAATGCTTGTTGAACATTAAAGTCTTATATATTTTACAAATACAATGGTCTATAAGGAACATTCCCTTTCTAGTTGATGTGTTCAATCATCCATGTTTTGGATCTTTAGAGTTGATATGTACTCAGGGTCACATATTGTCTAGATTTCTATGTCAGATATTTTGACACATGTTTTAAGTCTTCCGCTCCAAAGAACTAATAATGTGTGTTCTAAGGCCATTTTCTATTCACAATGGCAATATTTTTAAAAAATTCTTCGGAAGTGTTTAGTTTGTTGTAAATGAAAAAAATTGCACAATTTTGACCACCTTGTTATGCTGAGGTAATACAGCTAAATAAAAACAATGCAACTCAATTTGTTCTTTTCCTGTTTTAGAACATACCCACTCATTTATTAAAATCTCCTATTCAAAGCACACAAAACAATATGAAGTGAGACAGCTTTGTACAATCTTAATACCTACTGTAACATAAAATGTATAGAAAAAAAATTGGTAGAGTAACAATGACTAGATTAGTATCATGAAAGAAACAGGTTTCTTCTCAAATCACAATGTCAGCAGGCATATTGCAAAAACTGCCCAATATCAAAGTAAATATCATGGTAACAGAAAGAGGACCAAGAGCAAGAAAGCTAACACTGCTACTGGAATGAAATTATCACTATGCTGTGCGGTGTGCAGAATATGAAGTTTGTGTATAACTGGAATATTCAGTTGAGAGGCCACTGCCTTGATGATCCTGCATGTTGGCATCCTGACTTTGCACGGATAGAATTGGATGGGCGGTCGGACCCATATGAAAGAAATACGTTGGAGATATCGGGTTGGATGGGCTGTCAACACAAGTGATAAAACTTTCAGATAAAACAAATGATATGAAATAGCTATCCACAGACTTTTAATAAGTAATTACAATCCCTAAAAAATGACTTAAGTCACAAGAGACAAACTAGAATAAAACTCTTAATTGTGCAATAAATTTATTGAGACCATTGAGGAACATGCACTGCAAACTAGATTTTCAAGTCATAGTGAAAAACATAGTTAGAACCAAAAAGTGCACTTGACAGATTTATCATTAAATTTTCATTAAGAAGGAATACCAAAAACTTTGTCCAGGAGGTTGGACCCAAATTTGCTTTTGCCCGGATGTATATTTAGAAAGATTTAAATAAGTGAAAAATAAGTGAGCTATAGCACTTCTCACCTCACGTGTTGTTGTTTGACTATTTAGGGCAAGCTGCTTCCTCATGTTGTTTCCTGTGTATGCAACGCATTTAAGCTGCCACTCACCTATGTCTTCATTCCAATGAGAATACCTCTCAATCATGTCCTGAATAACATTTAAGAAATGTTATCAATAATTTTATCATTACTGCACTTGGTCAACAATATTGTAAATGTTGGCTTACTTGGTATTCACGAGGAATGAAGCTATTTTGAATATACTCTTGCAGAGCAAGCTCTTTGGTTAACATGCGAACAGAATCCAATAATCCTTCCATTTCTCTCTGGTGTTCTTGACCCAAATCAGCCAACTCTGATTTGGCTGACAGTAGCATTGATGTAATTTTCCTCAGCTTCTTGCCTTTTCCAGCACATTCTTCCTGAAGGCTTGAATATCTTTCTTCAATATCAATTCGTTCAGCCTGTTTAAGATAAGATGATAAGAATCAAGATAGCTAAGACAGATTCAAGTTACATTTTGATGATGGAGAGTACACCACATACTTCTTTCCTTTGCAGTTCTTGTTGTAGAAGCTGCTCCTGAGACATTGTTTGCTCCAATTCCTGAGCAGACTTTAAAAGTAATTGGCCCTGAAGATCAGCTTTTTCTAAAAGGTTTTCTCCCCCAACAAGAATTTTCTTCTCTAGATTCTGAAGTTTTTCTCGAAGAGCTTCCTGTTCACTCCTGTGGGAGGAAATTTTAAATTTTTGGTAAAGTCCAAGGAAGAACACAAGATTGTACTAAGTGAGTAGTATGATACTTACCTTGCCTTACAAAGTTCTGCTTCTTCTTGTTCTGCAATACGTTTTAATTCTTTCTCCATTTCAGTCTCTTGTGGTTCTTCTTCATTCCAGTCTTCAAGGTTTCTGCCATCCTGAGCAGCAGCCTAAACAATGTAATAAAATGTAATTTTTTTTTAAAATTGTGAAATAGATGAAAGGGTAGATGACTGAAATAATTTATTCACATCACCTCTGCATCAGCTAATTGATCCATAGTGAGAGGAACATAATGACCTAAACCTGAACTAGAACCACGTTTTTTGCGTTCCTTCTTCTCTGTCCGCTCTACATCATCATCACCATCAGAGGAATCAGCTTCTGATTCAGATCCCTCTGATACTGTAAAATGTAAAAATAACAAAAAAACAATCACCATAGCTATAACAGAAACATGTCATAAAAAATTCCACACTCGCAGGTAATGATGAACCAACCGTTACTTGCTTCACGATCTTCAAGTTGACGGCGTAATGTTTCAATTTCAGTCTGAAATTTACGAAGTAAGGCATCTTTAGGGTCCTCATTGACTCGGACACGATTCTTGATGTTTTTGGCGCGATTGGCATAACGAAGTGTGCTTATTGTTTCATCATAATTATAATCAGCTGGCCCTATATTTGCACACTGCAGTACGAAAACAAAACAAAAAAGCATATAGTTTCAAAATATAGAACATCATGTCGTGTTATGAACAGATGTCTTAATTTATAATGGAGGCTTGAATGAAGATTAGTAGGCAGATCTTACCATCACAGTTTTGGAATTTCCTCCAAGAGAATCTTGAAGTAATCTTGTAAGTTTAGAATTTCTGTATGGTATATGAGTGCTTTTTCCATCAACCAAAGCTGAAATTACATTGCCCAAAGTGGAGAGTGATAAATTAATCTTTGTTGCCTCTTTGAACCGCTGACCTGTGGCACCTGTCTTGCTTTGACGTTCAGATCCCTAAGATGAAAGTTTTGATTTTAATGGTGATACATGAGATAAAAATTCTTCAATGTTAAGGGGGTATAAAAAGGTTTTAATAAATCTTACTGCCAAATCTACAAGATGAAGTCGTCCAACTCTGACATGCTGCTCTGCTTCACCAGCAGTAGTTGATTCTATGGTGGTTGAATATATGGCATGAGAGCGCGAGCTCTCAACATTCATAGCAGTAGCCCCAACAACACCTATGGCATATATAAGTATTTTGTAAGAAAACGAATAAAATTCTATAGAAGACCAAAAATACACAACAGTCCTCACGGTTCTTGTTTCCTAATGTCATTATGCGTAGCATATCCTCATGGTTATTAACAATATAAGAAGACAAATCTTTGACAAAAACTCCAATGTCAGGTCTCTCCTTTACTTCAAGTCGAACGCGCTGATCTTTACCCAACAAATCTCTCACTTCTTCATTGTAAATTTCATAGTATGAAACTCGCACCAAAAACCTATGGAAACAATGAGTCAAAGAATTAAAGCATTGTTTGCAATTTAGAATCGAAAAAAACCTTATTAAAACTTGCTTGGTATCTTCTTTAGCTTGGGCAATATGGCTGAAAATGTGAATGAATGAATTGGGAATGATTCCTCTGAGTGCTGGGTCACTGTGTAGTCCCTCCATGGTATAGGTCTTGCCTGTACCAGTTTGTCCGTAAACCAAGATGGTGCCATTGTAACCAGCCAATGTTTTGTTGACTATTGGAGCAGCAACTCTATTGTAGACATCAAGCTGAAAGATAATATAACAGACTTAAAATTAACAAAACAACAACACCAAAATGAGCTGTGCACGGCATTAACAGCTCACATTTTTCAATGCACCATTGCAGATATTTCTGTAGCATGGGTCAAATGAATCAAGAAGCAACATTCTATGCTTAGGTGCACTTTTATTATTAAAGGAGGTTTCTGGATGAATGCGTACTGGTGCAATTATGAAATCACCTAACATTTTCCATCTCCTGCAGACTCTTTAAAATGTTTCATTTGAAGAATTAAGGATAAGCACAATAAACTGAAGCAGGAACCTTGCGTAAAAGGTCATGAAACAGCACCATGAATGCTGAACTAGGTACTCGTTGCTTGGTAACTATAATAAGGAAAGTAATCACAACAATGAAGAGGTATCATTGTCCTCCCCCCCCCAAAAAAAAAGAGAAAAAGGGGGGTGGAAATGGGGGAAAGGGTGTGTCTGGAGTGCAGTAGAGGTGTCAATATGGATTGAAGATAAAATTGTTTTAGTGAAATCAACAAACATTTGCGTGCACTTCTTTAAATCAACTGAAAGTGGAAAGAGGTCTTGTCACAGGCTGCAGAAAAACTAAATACAAGTGCATACCTGTGAGGAGTCAGTATCAAACACAGTGTCAAAAGTAAACACTTTTGGGGGTTCCTCTGGAGGGGCTTGAGGGTTTGAGACAGATATCGCATTACATGATGAATCTACTGACGTAATTTGGCGACAACCAGTCTCAGTCTCTTGCTCAGAGAGAGGCCGCACTCTCAGAACAACTCGAACATTTTCTACTTCTCCAACACTTGAAAGATCCTAGGATAGCAAAAAACGGAAAAGGTATATGGTTAATACTGTTTTACAGGTAATTGGATGTGAGGGTTAGCTTGTTGCTAATTGTGAATCTGTAGAAAAGAGTTTATCCACTTTGTAGGCAACTTACAACTTGACTTGCACTCGTCATAATGAATGAATCACATATGCCGAAATGTTTCTTGTCCGTCAAATAAGTGCTAAAATAATGAGCAAACTATTTGTGTATTTTTCTTTTACACACCCCCACCCGTTACGGCTCTTTACCACGCCCACACACAAGCGGAATAGTATGAGAAACTCAGGCAGACAGCATTTCCACTCTACGACTTCCATGGACGTCAACAAACAAACATTCCATTCCAACCACCGACCGACTAGAGCCCGAACAGTCACTGGGAAGATGAGGACTCATCTTTGAAACTTGTGGAATTACAGGTGTCAGCTTCATTGAATCATGGTACGTTGTCTTCAAACAATGCTCTTGTTTGGATTCTCTTTGAGAACTTTTTTTTGTTGTCGTATCAACTGCATTATAATTTAAGATTTTATTTCCCTTGAATTCCATGATAGATTTTATCTCGGCTGAAACCTGCCGTCACTTCCAAGCCCCCAACAGGAAACACCACTGGAGCAAATCAAAAAGCGCTTCCAAAACTGGAAGACTTTCTGTCCGCAAGAGATTATACTGGAGCTCTGACACTGCTTGAGGTATGTGCATTTTTGTAGATGACAGTCACCTGATTTGTTTCTTTAATATTTTTGTTCACTTTTTAGTTCAACCAAGGATCAGGAAAAACGGATGGAAATAGCGAGCAATGGATTGGATACTGTGCTTTTCATCTTGGTGATTACAAACGTGCCATGTCCATTTTTGAGAAGCTTTCTCTGAAGGGCGATCCACCTGATGATGTGTTGGTGAACTTGGCTTGTTGCCAGTTTTACCTTGGCTTGTATTCAGAAAGCGAGGAGGTAGAACAGCTTCTGTATCTATTGTATTTTTGTTTAGGTGATTGCGGTGATTTTTATTCATTGACTCACTTTTTTGTCCTATCAGACTTTGAAACATGCAAATCCGAGTCCATTAAAGACTCGGCTTCTATTCCATCTCTCCCACAAAACTAGTGCAGAAGAGAAGCTTCTAGAATATCACCAGCAATTGAGAGATGTGACTGAGGATCAACTAAGCCTAGCTGCAATCCACTATCTTCGTGCCCACTATCAAGAAGCTATAGATATTTACAAAAGAATTTTACTGGACAACAGGTGTGAAACTGATCACATGGATGTTTATTTTTGTTACGATTAATTTTATTTGTTTCTTTTTTTATTGCAGGGACTATCTGGCTCTCAATGTGTATGTTGCCCTGTGTTACTACAAATTAGATTATTATGATGCTTCCCAAGAAGTGCTATCAGTATATTTGCAACATTTCCCAGATTCTGCTATTGCTATAAACTTGAAGGCATGTAACCATTTTCGTCTTTACAATGGAAAGGCAGCAGAAAATGAAATAAAGTCTCTAATGGTAAGTTATTGGGTCTGAAGAAAACCTTGTCCAGGCAGTGCATAATTTATTCAGGAAGTCATAATGACTTTATTTTTAAGTGCCACTCGTTAAATTACAAGCCAGCATTCATCTATTTAACCAGTTTTAAATTATAATTCTGTTTTCCAAGACTTTTTAAGACTGTGTGTTTTACCTATCTTTAATAATTATTCCTGTATCATAGGATCAGAGTTCATCATCTTTCATCTTTGGAAACGATTTGATACGTCATAACATGGTTGTGTTCCGAAGTGGTGAAAGTGCCCTGCAGGTGCTTCCTCCCCTTGTGGATGTCATTCCGGAAGCTAGATTGAATCTAGTGATTTATTATCTTAAACAGGTAAATGTCTTACAAATTTGTTAATAGTCTGCATTTAAGTCCCAAATAAAGCTTTTTTCCCTAATTTTAATACTGCCACTTTGATATTTCTTTACAAGGATGAGGTGCGTGAAGCATATCAATTGATTAAAGATCTGGAACCTGCAGTTCCCCAAGAATACAATTTGAAGGGTGTGGTAAATGCAGCCATGGGCCAAGAGACAGGTTCTGTAAGTTTTGAAAAAAAAAAGAAGTTATTCAGAAATGTTTATGTCAATAATTGTTTTGGCAAATAATTTCCATTCCTCTCTCTCTTTTTCTTCTCAAGCGAGAGCACATCAAGTTTGCTCAAAAATATTTTGAACTGGTTGGTTCAAGTGAGAGTGAATGTGACACAATTCCAGGCCGTCAGTGTATGGCTAGCTGTTATTTCTTAATTCGTCAATTTAGTGAAGTACTACTTTATCTGACTTCCATAAAGAGCTACTTTTACACTGATGACACATTCAATTTCAACTATGCTCAGGTAAAATCCATATGTGTATTCTGTGAGTCTTAGTAGCCTCAAAGATATTGCAAATTTGAATGTTTCTGCAGGCAAAGTGTGCAGTTGGAAATTACAAGGAAGCTGAAGAAGCTTTTCTACTCATTCAGAATGAGAAAATTCGCAGTGACTACACATACATTAGTCATCTGGCTCGATGCTGTAAGTGCTTTTTTAAATGATCAAACTTTATAAGCAATATGAAAGTACTGTTAGGATGTTTTTTGATTGCACTTGTTTTTATTGAATCTGTCTTCTCTGCAGATATGATGAATGGAAAACCACAAATGGCTTGGGAGCTTTACCTCCGTCTGGAAACATCAGCAGAATCATTCAATCTTTTGCAATTGATGGCAAATGACTGCTACCGTCTTGGCCACTTCTGGTTTTCCGCTAAAGCTTTTGATATGTTAGAAAGGCTTGATCCGATTCCTGAACATTGGGAAGGCAAAAGAGGAGCTTGTGTGGGAGCTTTCCAAATGGTTGTTGCAGGGAAACAGCCAAAGTAAGTAAATTTGTTTGATTTTAAGTTAATCCCGAAATAATTGTCAGGTTTGGTGTTACTTAAACTGTATTTCCTTTCATTCTTTTAGGGAACTCTTAACAGATGTTATCAGTCTTTTGAGGAACACTGCAAATTCTCAAGTTGAAATGATTATTCGTATTGTGAAGCGCTGGGCCAAAGAGAATCGCATTAATGTGTAATTTATCTCCTAGAACACATTGTTAGATTATTACTATCACTAGAATCTAGTTAATTGTGAGTTGAGTACCAACTCCGTCCAGGACACAAAAAGAACTGTAAAGTAAATTTTCTAGTCATGTTGTGATTAATATTGTACCCTCTATTGTAAGATATTGTAAACACTGAGTCACATATTTCATAGGATAAAAGAGACAAAAACAGGATAGAAAAGAAAAAAAATTATTACCTCATAGTTGTTTAAAAATAGAAAACCCTGTGAGATCTGTTAAAATTATTCATTAGCATTTTGTGTTTTTCCTGTGGTAATACTTGAAATTGAAATACCCATGGACCATATAAGAGGCTGATCTGCTGAAATTTTGATTACAGGATCATTGCCATAAGTATTTGAGGAACTGATCATTCCACCAAATTTCATCTCTTGGTTTTCTGAAAATAGATTAAAGATGTATGATATAAATACCAAGTCAAGACAAAAATAGAAACACAAATAAAATAAAATGTCAAAGGAAACAGAGCTCATTTTTACATACTTAGATTCCATTTGAGGCCTGATGTTGTTACAATAGTTGGGGCGCCAACAGGAATTAATCCAATCCAACGGTCATCAGATAAAATATCATTGTGCTTTAAATTGGAAACATTTATTTCATGGCTTCCTGGTTTTAAAAGCCATGTAGCACTGCATGAAGAAAGAAGAACTATACATTCTTCAAACATGTGCAATGTGTTCAATTGGGATAAAATTTGGTCCAAGCGACCACTCACTTCACATACTGCTACTATCAAGCTTGGCTGCAAAATTTTAACTTCTTAAATTCTAAACGCATTTTGTGCAAACCAAGTCTTAGATTATAATTATTTTTAACAACTTACAGCGTCTCTTTCCTTAATGCAACGAATGGCTTTGCAGAAATCTGTGAAGTCTTGATCAGGTGTATGAAATACAGGAACAGACTTCTCCTGAAGCATTGCAACAGTACTAGATCGAATAGAATCCAGATCACCTGTTACTACATCTGGTAAACCTAAATTCAAAATACCACATATACTTGAGCTTTCCAGCCACTCAAACCAACGGTCTGTTCCACCATCCACAGTAACACGGAATGTAGCTGTAAAAAAATTGATTCACATAGATAAATAACAGAGAACATGAATTACCCGTGAGAAAATGTTGCAATACAATTAAAATTTGAAAAACTCAATGAAAATAAATGTACCTTTATTCCATAAGTGAGCCATGATTTCTTTTTTTATCGATATCGGCTGATTAAGTATGACCAAGCTAAAAGGTTCAACGGGATCTGCTCCAAGAAAAGATAGAGGATTCCAATACATGCTGCCAGCCATGCTTTCCTACAAGGTTGTTTACGACATTTAAATAATTTAGCAATAATTTTGAAGTAAAGAAAATTGTAACTTTGTACAAAACCAATTTAAATATCATACCTGCAATGCAGTGAAAACTGAAACGTCGACGAAGTCTTTTATAGGGTTGGGTTGGAGGATTGCACTTGACCGGCACCTAATGGTTTCTTATCACCGTCTTTTCGAACGCAAGCACGACACTGACAGGCCACTGCCACTTTGGACAATGTTTAACTTTTCTGGAAGGTTGTTGTTTGTGATGTTTTGAGCGAGGCTTCAGCCACCTTCAGCGGCGTCACACAGCGTGCCTCAGAGGCACATCACCGCGCGGTGGTGTGATAACAGGAGGACGGTGGGCTTCTCTCCTGCCGCCTGCTGCTGCTGCGGCCAAGAAATTCCCTCTCGATTTCTGTGGGAACAGTTGAGTGCGTTTCGTCGCGAAGAGCGCCACCTATCGTCATCCGGTCAAATTAATGAGGTTCCTGGGAAGTTCGAGGGCGGGACTCGGTGGCAAGAGTGGCACTCTGCTAGAGTGAGAGAGCTCCGTGCAGGCACCTTTCTTGTGTGCGAGACAGAGAGAAAGGACAAGAAAAGGTGTGAGTGGGGGTAAATTTGGAGGAAGGGTTCGAATCTCGCCATATTGGTGGTAACTGTGTGAGCGGACGGACGTGAGAAAAGCGTAAAATTTGTGATTTTAAAAACGAGTGTGGATTATGCCGCTTGCTGGGTCTGGCCAAGACCCCGTTGACCCATGGAAGCGACTGGATCCTGGGGCCTTGCAGGTCAAAGAAGAAATCGAGGTAGGACTTTAATTTTGTTCGTTCCATCCAGTCCCCAATGTGTATTCTCTTTTTGTTGACCGACAGGTATTGTTGTGCGGTACCGGTATCAACACAAATCCCTTTAAATTTGCCCCATATTTGCCCCTCATTTCTCACTATTTTGATGGCATTATTTGTCCTAGCCTAAACTAAGGATTTTCGTATAGAGCCTCCCAGGGCCAGGCCGACGAAACGTATGGGACGGTATTTATGCACCTGTCAAAGTCGGCGAGGTTATTTTGGTCAGAAATGACTGAAATGACAAATAGAGTGACTCTATATTCCATCAATGAAAACCATTTGATCGTTTTAACAAATTCAACTCTATTTGAATTCATTGATTTATTCTTTTAATGTCTTAATATCACAAAGAGGTAATCAGATTCAGGACAAGCTGATACACGTTAAGCAATCCTCAAACCAATGTTGCAGAATGTACAAAATTCTTTTGCACTGTTTGACTGAAACTTTACCTAAAACTCATGGGTTGTATTCTAGAATCTTTCAGTTAGCATTCATTTTGTTTGCCCTGAAATTTAAATGCAATAAATGATAAATCGTATTCATGTATTGCTTGAACATTGCATGAAGATTTGTGCAGTTATGCCATTTGACGATAAATTGAAAGCATGCATTGTTTTGTGCATGTATTTGAATGGAAACAAGTTTAACAGCAGTTGAAATTTTTTGTGTGACCCATCATAATTGTGTGCAAATGAGAACTTAGTTCTACAGAATAATTTGTAACTTTTCAACAATTTTTGGATTTTTTTTGTGTCAATTATATGACAAATATTGCAGTCCTAAGAATGATCTGTAGGATCTGTGCAGGATACATAAGATGGTTGCTTGATTCATTAGCTTTCCATTTCATGCAGTAGCTAAAATTTTTCTTCCTGATTTTCAACTAATAAAATATGCATCTTTCTCGATAGACGCTCTTAGAGCTGCTGTGATGGTGATTAAAACTATCGCTTATTGCTGTTGTGGCCATTAAAGATGATCTGGTTTAATGCAGGAAGGAGGAAGGCTCTAAGTGTGTGTGCTGTTCCCTTTGTTGGACCAATCAGCCAAAGTAAAATATAAAATATATTGATAGCATCTATAAGGCAATTAGTTTTTGTCACTTGTCGCTAGCTACTTTTCATCTTGAACAATGTTATTCCTTGTTTTTGCAGCCCATGGCGTATCCAAGTCTATATCTGGCCTAAGGATTGATTCTGTAGGTACCCTGCCACAGATATATGACAGGCTGCATGAGTATTAATTGTTTTTTTAGGCGAGGGTGCGGCATGTGTATTCATAATGTATCCTCTTAGGTGGTTATTTTACTTCACATGAATCTTTTTCTCACTCAATGTAACAACAATTAGGGAAATTGTGAACAAGTTTATTCAGCTTCTTTTTCTGTTACCCCCTGAGTTGGAGTTACTTTAGATGCTGGGTTTGTTCACCTTGGTTTTGTCTCTGTTATGTGCTTTACACCTCTTAACTGCACTTTCAACTTTTGCAAAGTTATTTTTGTTGTTGAGTTTATATCAAGTTATATGCCAATCGCTTGAGCTTTTGTTAGGTTCAAGAGGACAAAGTACTCATGCAGACCAATCTAAACTCCTCCTTCCTCTATCCTGTATTCCACGTGCATGGAAATAAGCCTATGTGATTTACTAAGTTATGCTCATTTTCCCCCTACCCTCCTTTCTCTTGAAGAGCATTGTGTTCTAGACCAGTACACTGCTTGTTGTATCTAGCTGTTCTCCGAAGCACGTGGTCATTCGCATTCGCACATAGCTTGCTACATCACCTTGAGCTGTACGGTAATCCTCCTGCTAAGAAGGCGTGTCTATGCAAATGTGTTCCTTTTGCCCCCCCCCCCCCCCCAACCTCGCGCGAAAATGATTCTGCCGGGCTCCTCGACAACCTAACCTGGCGTTGCGCGTCTCATGTGAGACACTCAAAACAATAAAAAAAGGGTGTGAGGACCGTGAGCTCCCCGGCCCCCGGCCCCCGGCCCACCTGCACGGGGCCCGCGCGCACTGTGTGCCCGGTTGAAGCGACGCTGGCGTTGACTGTACCTTTCAACAGAGTTTTCGGAAGGACTTTAGAGAGTAGTGGTCGTGGGCGCGCTACAGCCACGCGGCTGCACGCGGGCCGTGGTCTGATTCCGAGAGTCGTTTTCGTCGCTCCGTCTCTCTAGCACTCATGGGGCATCTCGTGGTGCGAGAGAGACAGGGGCCGGGCAGGACTTGTTGCCCCGCTGCCTCTTGACCCCCATGTGCCACAGTGTCTAATTGCAGCGCGTGTGGCGCGCAGTGGAGACATAGAGGGGCGGGTGAAATGTGGCAAATTTAAACGTAACGCCCCTTCCCTCTCCTCTTTTCTCTCGTAAAAGCTCCCAAGGCTGACGTGGCCTGCATGCTGGCGGGCTAGTCCAGGGTAGTCCCGCCGCGCTTTGACATTTGAAAGAAATGCCGGTGGTGTGCGTCGCGCGTCCCGCTGCTGGTGATGCATCGCGCTGCCGCTGGGGAGGCCTCGGCCCGCCGCGGTGGCCGCCAGGGAGGAAGGGCACTGGGGTTAATTGGCCGCGGACGCACGGGGTCAGTTCGTCGCTCTCTCTCTCTGCCGCACTCGTGGGGCTCTCCGTAAGGGTGCGAGGGAGGCAGAGCGACAAACCGCAGGCTGGGGCCGCTCTGTCTATCGCTCTCGCTCGCACCCACGGGGCGTTACGCAGTGGGGTGGGAGAGCGACGGCGACAAAGCACTGCTCGAAATGAGACTGAACTCCACTCTGGGCTTCTCGACGTTGCTCTGTTCCGAATGAAGATCCACTGGGCGCCTCTGCCCCGTGCCGCGCCGTGCCGCGTCGTCGACGAGGGCCGAGGCCGGCCGAGGCGACCCAAGGCCTTGCCCGTGCGTCCGCGAGGGGCCGCCACCTTTATTTGGGGGAGGCAGGTGCAGGGCCTGCAGGGCGACATGCCTTTGTACCAACTTGCGGACCGGCTTAGCCAGCCGTGATGGAGTGAGGCCCCTGGGGTGGGGGGAAGCAACGGGTGGCTCCACACCGATAAGGCAACAAATCGGATTACGCGAGGAATTTTGGGGCAGGTGCGGCGCGAAGTTGCCTCTGAGTCCATGCGGTGTGCGCGCCGTGCGCCAGGTTGGCGCTTGGCGCCTCGCCTCGCTGGAGCTCGCTGGAGGGCGCTGGAGCGGGTGGCTGCCAAATGCGTACATTGTGTGGGCGCTTGGTGGACCCGTTATGGGCCCACCCGGGGGTGCCAGGGGGTGCCAGGGGGCAGCGGTCGAAATGCCACCCCACCTTCCGAAACACCGCCGTGCCTGGCCGCGCCGTCGAGGGTGTTGTAGGTGCGAGCGCTTGGGGTGGAAAGGCCCCGCGGACGCGGGACGCGCGAGGAAAAAACCCAAGAGAAATAAGGTCCCGTCCCGTGTGCCGGGTATTCATTGGATTTTTTTGTGACTTGTGTCGACACGGAGGGCTCTGGCCGGCTCTGGCACACCTGGCTGTGTTTGGTATCGCGACGTGTGTCCCGATAGCCAGAGATAGCGACGGACAGGATGTCAACCCGGCCCTCGCTGGCGTCCAAGATAGAGTCTGTCGCTCAGTCCCTCTTCAGGGCGCCGTGGATGTCACTCTCCGGGAGAGTTATCCGCCCTTGGCTTGCCTCGGGATTGCCTTGGCTTGCCTTTGCCCGGCCCCCGTCGACGCTTGGATGCACACAGGGCCTTGCATGCGTTCCAGAGGGCAGATTCCGAGCCGAGCGAGAGGTCTCTCTCTGTCTCTCTCGCACTCATGGGGCGCGAGGAGGTAGGCCGACGGGACCCATCGCTTAGCTCGGAATGCCTGCTTGCCAGACCCGGTCAGGCCACTGCTAGCTAGACTGCCGTGAACGTGGACGTTGTTTCGTTCCCTGCCGGCCGCCGACCGCAGGGCGCAGGGCCACAGTGCCAGTGTAGCGCGCCAATCCCCCATGGAGACGTTCCGACCCGCTCTGCCTTTTCGGGCTTTCCCCTAAATTGGCGCTGAGTACCTACCTGTCTGTCTGTCTGTCTGTCTGTCTGTCTGTCTGATAGTGATCGCGCCTCCGCGCGGTCGACCCCCGACCCAGGCTGCGTTCCATTCATGTCACATTCCCGCTCCGTCAGGAGCACGGCTGGCTTACTCCGAGGGGGTGCGCTCGTCGCGCTGTCTCTCTCGCACCCATGCGGGGTGCTCCACGAATGCAAGAGAAAGGGAGGGGGGGGAGAGAAACCGGGAACAAAACGAGCGCGGAGAGCCCCTGCAGGGTAGGCAATACGACGCACGGCTGTGCTGCGGGTCGGCCTACTCGCCGGGCGCTTCCCCTCCTTTCTCCTTTCGAGCTGAACTCGGCCGTGCCGAACGAACGCTAAACGCACGGCGAGGGCCGCGGCGGCGATGCCTATGGCGCCTATGGCGATGATGGGTGCGCTTTTGGCGGCGCACTGTTCTCTGCTGGCGTTCTGGCGGTGGGGCGGCCGGCACTCCCTGCAAATGGATTCTCGTCCTTTGTGGAAGCTGGGCCGGCCTGGTGAGGCCCGGAGAGGCCCGGAGAGGCCCGGAGAGGCCCGGAGGCCGAGGCCCGGAGCGCAGGCGGGAACGGAACGGCTGGGTTTTATCTCGCTATTAAAGGTCGCCCCCGCCACCCCGGACCGAGGCCGCGCTTGCTGCAGGCCAAGTGGGGGCGTTAAGGGCAGCAGTCACCCCTGATGACGGCTTTTAAGGGCGTGCCATTTAAGGGCGGCCCCCCGTCACCCCGGACGACGACGTTTACGCGCGGCCCCTCCACAGTGGGCCAGAAGACCGGCGGAGGCGGTCAAAATCCCGGCCGGGTTTTGAGCTCCAGAGTTGCTAAATGGGACTCGTACCGAACGCGTGTCTCCAACGATTGCTATCCGAACGAGGAATCCATTGGTGGGGTCACACGTCTGGTTCGAGTCCTGTTTAGCGATTCTGGAGCTCAAAACGCGTCTCGAGTTTTGGCCGACGGCGCCGGCCTTCTGGCCCACTGTGCGGTGTGCCTGTTCGGGCCCTCTTGTGTCAACTTGGGCCCGCTTGGCCGGGCGGTGAGTTCGGCCCTGTGGTTTGTTGTCGGGGTGGGAGTGGGTCGGCGGCCAGGGTGGCGGTGGCGCGCTGTCCCGGCCCGGCGGCGTGTGCGGCTTCTGGCCGGCGGCTGTTTTTCTTGGAAGCTTTCTTTGTGGCGCTCGCTCGCTCGGCAACCCTCTTCGCGTCGCGCCGTGACGTGTGGCGTCCGTCTCCCTCCTCTGTCACTCCAGCCGTGGCCGTGGCCCTGGCCCTGGACCTGCCCCGGCTCCACGCCGTGAGTGCGACCGAGAGCGAAGACACACCCGGGCGCAGCCCCAGCAAGTCGCTGTGTGACACCCCGGACTCCGGTGGGGCTGGGAATCGATCTTGCCGAAGCTTTGGAAATAGAAGCTCGTCTCCCGTTTCCATGGCCCCGGTGGCTCCAGCGGCTCCAGCGGCTCCAGCCGAGGCTCCATCCCATCCGACCCACTGGGCTTTGACGGTGCAGAGCCGCGCACCGCGCACCGAGACACTGTCTCGCACCGCACCGCACATGGCCAAACATGCGCCAATTGCCCCTGCCATTGTTGCCGCTCCCCTCACGTCCCGTTAGTTCCCCTGCACGCTTGTAGGCCGTAGACGCTGCCGTGCGCGCGCGTGTGTGTCGACGTTGTCGTCGGCGCGCGCGTCGTAGAGTCGCACCGCGGGCGGGGGCTGCGAGGTTGGACTGACGATGTTGTTTTGTCTGTTGCAGTCTGCTAGCACTGAGGAAATGGTGCTGGATGAAAGCATTGAGGTGAGAGCATTGGTGTGCGTTTTGTTTTTCTCTTCCTTACATTCTGGTGTGCGCTCGTGTGTGTGTTTGGCTTTTTCCTCTGCGCTCGCTCCGACCTCGCTAATGGCTTGCCCACTAACTTTCCCTGCTTGCTCAGTTACGGAGGCTGATAAGCCCGTCGTTGCTTTTTGCTGCTTTTTGCTGCGGTGTGCTCTCTCTTTCTCTATCGGCGCTCGACGCGTGTGGAGCGAGTTACTGTGCGGCCGAGGACCGGGCCGGCCTGCCTGGTTTCGGCCTTCAGTGATTCTCTCACCTTCCGCCACCGGTTGCCGCTTCGGGCTTCCTCAGATAGTTCGCTCTGGCGGCTCGGCGGCTGCAGCAAGGCTTCTTCTTCTTCTTCTTCTTCGGTTCCACTGCGAAATCCCCGTTGGCTGTGAAGCCTCGCGGGGCTCGGGGGCCTCGCGGGTCGCCCTGCAGATGTGCCGACACACGGTGAAACTACACCCCGTTTTGCAGTGCACACGCTTCACGAGTCCAACGCGAACACACGCACGCCGCCGCCGGCCGGGGCGGAGCGACTCGGGCCAAACTTGAAATGGACTTGGATCAAATATTGCGGCCTGGCGACGCAGAACCCCTGCGGGCCCTGCGGCCATGCAGCAGTGGCAGCAGTGGCCCCGCCCTGCTCTGCTCGTCGGCGGGCTCGTCCAGGACGCCGCACCCGATGACGGCAACCCGGCGGCCCGGGTTCACTTTATCATTGCGTAAACTGTCCGCGCGTAATTGCGTTGGGCCCCGCGCTCCGCGCCCCGCGGGCCGGAATGGGCAAACGCTAAGTTTAGATTTGGGCCGGTCGGGCGCGGCGGCCGAGTGAAGTGACCACCGGGGGGCCGGCTATTTGAGCACTGGCCGGGGGTGCAGTTGGGCGGGGCGGGTACAGCTCGATGAGATTCGCGCGCTGTCCCGAGGAGGCCTTGCCCCGATGCAATATGCCCGCCGCCAGTCAAGTCTCTACCTCTGCCTCCGCCGCCTTGTTTTACCCGTGGCCGAACCCGATCCTGTGATCGACCCTCCGCGCGCCTGGCCTCGCTAGGCCTCGCCGCCCCTCGCCGCTGGTCTCCTGCCTTGAAGGGATCGTGTGCTCATCGGCGGCGGAGAAGGTTATTTTTCTTCCCTCGCTGCCCCCCTCCTACTTTCTTTCTTTCTTATTTGACAATCTTGTTCTCATTACTTTTGCCGCGCGTCTCTCCGCACCCTTTTAATATTAGTGAGACGCAGGCACCTCTCCTGAGAGAAAAGCACGCGAAAAACCCTCCAAGGACAGGGGTGCGCTCTCCCCCTGTTTCTGCTCGGGCTGGCCCCTCCCTTAGGCCCCGCGGGTGGTGATGCCGGGGCCCCACCGGAGGACGCTGCGCTCTGTCCGCCCGCCGTCAGTCCGCTGTCTGCCTGTCCGTATGTCCGTCCGCTGTCTGCCTGTCCATATGTCCGTCCGCTGTCGGACAGTCCGTTCGTCCGCCTGTCTGTCCGTCCGCCTGTCTGTCTGCCTCGCTTGCCTCATGTTCCGGGCCGCCCTACGTGCCCCCTTTGTCCCCGTGCACTCATCTCCTGCCCGTGCGTTATTTCACCCCTTTCACCTCTTTTGCTTCCATCATCTTGTTTTTTGTCGCTGCGAGGCGGGGGCGGCGCGGTGGCGCGAGGGTGCTGGAGGGGCGAAATTGGCCTTTTCGAACGTGTCTCCGCTGCGTAATGAGCGCGCGACGTGCTCGACGGCGTGCTCGGCGTGCGCGGGGGTGGCGCGGTGACGTCACGGCCCTTCGGCCGCACCGCCGGCACCGCCTCTCGGACGCGCTTTGCCCTGCACTACTTGTTGCCGGCCGTGGCGCGGTGCCGCGGTGCGCACTCGCGCCAAATTTTGCGGCAGAGTCTGATGGCAAAGTTTGCTTTCGGGAGAAAGGCGGGCGAAAGGCGGCGGGGTGTTGGCGGGGGAACTGGATTGATTGATTTCCGAAACTCGCCCAAGTTTCCCTTTCAAGTGTAATTGCATGTGCTGGCTGCCGACAACGGGGCCGCGACGCGGCGAGGCGCCCGGGGCCCCGGCGGGGCTGCCTTTGCGTCGGGGCTGCCAATTACTGGCCCTGTTTTCTGGACTTTGGCGACGCGCCGCCGCCGGCAACGCTCTGCCGTGGAGGGTTTTCATTTTGCGGCCGCGACCCTGGCGGCGGCCTTGACGGCGGCCTTGACGGCGGCCTTGGTGGCGGCGTCGTCGTCCACTTCTGGCTCCGCCGCCGCCTCGTCCTCGTTCTCGCCCACGCGCCGCGCGCCGTCGGAAGGGTGGCTTTGACGGCGGCGGCCTCTGGCGGCGGCCTTTGACGGCCACCCCATCCCGCTCCGCTCCGCCCCGCCCCGGCCTGGCGGCGGCGGCGTGTCACAACTTTGAATGCGTTGTCAATACCCCTTGCGATGGCCACGGGACGGGTCCAAGGCCACGCCGAGGGCCGCGCGCCGCGCCTGGTGGCGCCTCGCCGGGGGATGATCAGGGTAGTAATTGGCGTGTTCGGCCGCAGGGACGGATGTTGTTGTTGTTCCCCCGCTTCCCCCGCCGCTGCCTGCCTGTCTGCCTGGCTGCCCGCCCTATTGGCTGCTGCTGCCATCTGCCGCAAAAAGTCATCGACACGATTGGAGCCAGGGAACAAATTGGGTCAAGGGCGAGTGGTGCGCGCGGCCCGGCGCGTGTGCGTCGCCCCGCCCCCCCGCCCCCCCCCGCCCCACCTGCCCCACCGCGCCCCACCGCGCCCCACCTCACCGCAGCGCACGCACCTGCGATTAAAAATAATGGAAGGGCCGCCAAGAGGGCAAAGGCCGTCGAGGCTCGCCAAGGGCGGTGTCAGGTTGACCCCTCGCCTCGCGCGTTGTCGCGCAAAACGGCGGCCTCATCGATTTGGCGCGGCGGCTCGCTCGGCACGACACGTGGAGGGGAACGGGAACTCATCCTGCCGGCCCGCCTCCCTGCCCGCCTGGGGGCCCAACTTTGCCCTGCCCCTCAGACAAAGTGAGTTTACTGTTGGCTGGCTGGCGCGCTGGCGGACGGGACGGGCTGGCGCGAGCCCCAATAATTCATCCATTGTAGCCTCGCCTAATTCAGCCGGCCTGGAGCCACGGCTGGGGCCAAGGAATGGCGGGGGCATGATACTGGCAAAGTTGGCGACTCGCTCGCGCAAGGCCGGCGGGGGGGCTGGGCTAGCTAGATGACGCCCTCCCTGGTCGCCAAGGTGGTCCAAATCCAGACGGATGTCTCTCGATTCACAATCGAGTTTCGGACTACTGCTTGTTGCAAATCCCATCCCCCTCAGGGCCGAGGTGGTTTGCAGACCTCCCTCCTTCATGCCCTGGCGTAGGATAGCTTCAACCATGCACGTTTCACCGGGTTTCGCACAAGCGTCCTGCTAGCAACGGAGCGACGCGAATGGAAATTCGATTTAAAATGCAAAGCGATACATTTGTCCGCGTTGTCGCTGCCGTCGCTGCCCTGCAGCCCTGCAGCCCGGCGGGCGTGTCAAATGGTGTGAAAGCATGTCAAGCGGTCCGCCTGGCACGATGTCTGCCCAGGGAAGGGGGCTTGATTACTCGCCGATTACTCATTAGCAGTGCGCCGCCGGGCGTTGATGGCCACCCTGCCCTGCGCCCTGCCCTGCGCCCTGGGCCTGGTGGGGCGACCGGAGAGAGGGAGAGGGGACGGCCATTGAGTCGTCGCCCATTGCCGCCGCTCAGCTTCTTGTGGTGGTAGGACGACCCGACCAGATCTTCAATTTCATTCGTCCTTCTTCTCCACTCCCCCCTCGCTCCCTCGGAGCCGTTTCGCTCATTACTGTCCCCATCACTGTCTGCAGACTGATTCCGAGAGTCGTCTTCTTCGCTCTGTCTCTCTCTCTCTCGCAACCTACACGGGACGCCCTATGAGTGCGAGAGAGACAGAGCGACGAAGACGACTCTCGGAATCTGTCTCCTGCGGGAGGCGAGGGGAGCCCCTCTAGGCGCCACCGAGCGTCCTGAGGCGTCTCTGCGTCCCACGCCGTGGTCGTGGGGCCGCGTGGGGCCGCGTGGGGCCGCGTGGGGCGTGGCTGCGCCTCGTCTTTGATTGTGGGCGGGGCGGCGGGGCGGCTAGGCTAGGGGATGCTCCACGCCGCCAAGCTCCGCCGAGCGCCACCAGGACCCGCCGTCGCCGTGTGGAGCGGAGGGCTGCCTCCCCGCCTGGCGGCCTCGCGGCCTCGCGGTCCACTGACTGCCGAGCGATTCAGAAGAGTCGTTTCGTCGCCCTGTCTCTGTCGCGCTCGTGGAGCTCTCCCTGCGGGTGGGAGAGAGACGGAGCGAATCGCGCGGATGGCACGGCCTTGAACGCCGCGTTGGTTTGGCTTGGCGAGTGTAGGCGAACGGCCGAACGGTCCCGCCGGATATTATTGGAGTCGAAAAGTTGGAGTGATTGTTGTTTTTTTTTCGTCCTGCCGTGCCGTGCCGTGCCGTGCCGTGCCGTGCCTGCCTTCCGCCCCTGGAGAGGATGAGCGGCTCCTTTGTCATCCGGCGAGCCAGAAAGGGGAGGGAGCAGCAGGGGGGAAGGGTGTCTCTCTCTCTCGCACTCATGGCGAGTCCCGCAAGGGTGCGAGAGAGAGACTACCTCCCCGCTCGGAATCAGCCTGCTGAAGGGTGCCGAAATGGGGGAAGGCTGAAAGAGGATTAGACGGCATAGAGGCCTGCTGCCCTGCTGCAGACTGAGGGTCGTTTTCGTCGCGGTCTCTCTCGCACCTACACGGGACGCCCCACGAGTGCGAGGGAGACGGAGCGATGGAAACGACTCTCGGAATCAGTCTGCTGCTCTGGTCGTCGGGGAGCAATGAAGCAGGGGCTGCCCGCCACGCCGCGCCACGCCACCATCGTCCGAGCGGCCCGTTTGTTCGTGGTGTCGAATGTTTTGGCGGCGGTGGCGTGGGAAGCGTGCAGATGGAAATACAGTGAGGGGGTCGGGCCGGGCGCGCTTCGCCCAGTGGACCCTTTTTTATTCATCCCGATGGCGTGGGTGTGTGGGTGTGTCTGTGTGTGTATCGATGGATTATTCCTCTGGTTGCCAATCAACCGATACTGCTGCGTCGGCCGATGGCGCCGGGCCGCGGCAGACGTCCGCGATACGGCGAGGCGGCCCGTTCAGTCCGCTCGCCGTACCGGCCGTGCCGGCCGTGCCGGCCGTGCCCCTGCACTGCTAATTGGAGTTGGACCGAGACGGACTCGGTGCAGTGCGCTGCGCGCTGCGCGTCGCCGTGTTGACTTTGGGCGAGGACGAGGAAGATGAAGAGCAAACAAGCGACCGCTTGCCGGCGCTCGCCGTCACTCGGAGCGGAACGGAGGGATTAGCGGTGTAGGGCCGCGCGGGGCGCACGGCGCACGGCAGCGCGTCCTTGAACCGGCGCCGGTCTGCGACTTTTGGATGTGACGTCCGGTCCGCGGTGGCGACATGCGCCCCGCGAGTGTCGTCAGACGCCGCGCGCCGCCACGCCGCGGCCACGCGACGCCACGGGCCGCCGTCCGGCCGCGCGCGCGGAGGAGGCGGAGGAGGGGGGCTTATCGGTGACCCGCCGCCGCGTTCATCATCCGTCTCGATAGGCACACGTCTCGATAGGCCGTAGTGTAGAGTGGAGTACGGGGCCTTCCCCTTCCAGACGTGACGTCGCCGCCGCGTCGCCGCGTCGCCCTGCCTCTGGCCGGGTCACTGGGTGGCAGCCGCGGCCGCGGCACCAGCCAGGCCAAAGAAAACAAAACGCATATCGTCGGATTGGGGATTGGGGGCGCGGCGGGGCGGGGCGGGGTGAAGAACATCCGTGTTGTAAGGCTGAGGCGGGGCAGGCGACTGTTGTGTCAGTCACTCCGCGTCACTCGAGTTGGACGCACGCGCCGCACTGTCGCGCTAACTGCATTAGTTGGACTTGGGCAGGCCGAGACCGCAGACCCCCCAGACCGCCGCCGCGGGCCGCGCTTGGAACAAGCTTGGAACTGTCGGAGCAAGAAAATAAAGCGGAGGACACTGGGACTGGAGCGGTGTGCGAATGGTCGTCAAGATGCGGGACACCGTGGGAGGCGCGCTGCTGCTGCGCCGCTGGGTGCGCGCCATGCGCAAGTTCGTCGTGTCCAAGGTAGTGGAGAGTGCGCCCACGGCGGGGCCCACGGCGGGGGCGGAGAAAAAAGGGCGCCTGCGGCCGGGTTTGAACCCGGCGCCGACCCGAGGGTGGCGGGGCCGCGCGGGGCGGGGGCGAGGCAACAGGTCGCGGGTCATTGATCCCAGCCCACCCCTCGGCCCCGCCCCGCCCCGCCCCGCCCCGCCTCACCCCGACACGGCAGCCGAATAAGATTCGCAAGTCACGTTGGCGTCGGCCGGCCTCGGCTTTTTCCCTCTTTCCCAACGTTAAAAAATGGCGCATGGCTCCCATGAAAAATAGACAAGCGTCGCCTTTCCCCCGGGGCCTCGAACACCTCTCGCTCTCTCCGTCTCTCTCTCCGCCTCTTTATCTCCGTCTCTCTCCCTCTGTGTGGCTGTCTTCTTCTTTCCCCTTTCTCCTTTCCACCCCCAGTAATGAAATTGGCAAAGCGAGTTAGCCCCGGGGTGCCGCGGGCTCTAGCCAGGTGTTGCTTTGCGGCGCAGGGCGTGGGGATGCGGGCCCGGCCGGGCCGTGGCAGTGGAGTGGAGGCTCGGTCCCGGTTGCTTGCTTGCCTGCTTGCCTGCTTGCTTGGGCCCGTCTGCGCTAATTTGCACCGCATTGTTGGTGGGCGAGTGCTAACCGCTGTCGTCCCGGACTTGTGGTCCGCCCCCCGGGCTCACCTGTCCCTCCTCGCCGTCCGGGTAGGCCCGAGGGTGGACCGTCCGGGGACCCCACCTCAATTATGGACGCTCCCCCCTCCCCTGGGAGGCCCCTGCGGCCGGCCGCTGTCATCGTGTCCGAGCTCGGACCGGATCCTATGTTTTGTTGCGGAGCTCTTGGGAGAGCGAGGGCACGACGGCCACCCTAGCCACCCACCGTACCCGGCTACCCGCCCACCTACCTCGCCGTGCCGTGCCATCCGTGTCGTCTTTGCCCTGCCCGCGGGCGGTGGCGGGTGGCGGGCCCGGCAGGCGCCCTCTGGCGGCAGCGTCGCAAACTCGCCTCAACTGCTGTGCACCGCTGTGTGCGTGCGGCGCGCAGGGGCTGGAGCGCTCTGGAAGGGTCTCCCCCCCCCCCCAAGCACCCTCCCTCCCCGAGGAGAAGAGTGGCTGGGATGCCGCCGCCCCGCAGCATTAGCATGCGCAGCCCCCGATTGAAACGGCAGCGATCGCCGTCCGGTCGGACTGACTGGCCGACTTGCCTGCCAAACTAGGCAGATGCAAATCGCTCTGGTTGTTTGCCTAGTTTGGCCCGCAAGCCGCAAGGGGGGGGGGGACACGGAGCGTGGAGTTGGCCGTCTAGAGAGAGCGGCCCCGCGCAGCCTAGCGCCGTTGAGCAACACCTGATGCACTCCGTAGTTAGAGCCAGCTTACACCCTTACAGCACTACACCCTTACACCCCCAGGCTTGCCCGAGGGCTTGCCGCACCAACCACACAGGCTAGCCCTCCGGGCCTCGCCGTCGGCCAGAGAGACGCAGAGTCCCTCTGGAGGGTCTCTCTAGCTGGCGCCCGCCTGAAAAGGGAAGCCCTAACGCCTTTGTTGTGTGTTGCAGCACGTGAACCGCGGCGTCAAGGCTGACGTCCACGGCCTGGGACACGGCCTCGGACACAACCTCGGACACGGCCTCGGGCACGGCCTTGGACATGACCTCGGGCACGACCTCGGCCATGGCGACGCCGCCGTGGACGCGGTGGACGCGGTGGACGGGCACGCCATCGACATGCACTCCCGGCCGGGGTCCGAGACCCACGAGATCGAGCTCGGCGAGGTGGTCAAGGAGGGCCACGACAAGGCCGACCCGTCGCAGTTCGAGCTGCTCAAGGTGCTCGGCCAGGGGTCGTTCGGCAAGGTGCGTGCTGCGTGCTGCGTGTGGAGTACCACTGCTTTCGGGCCGTCGTCTGGAGCCAGTGCTTGACGTGTTTTCTGTTTGACAGGTGTTCCTGGTCCGGAAGGTGGTCGGGAAGGACGCAGGCACCCTCTACGCCATGAAAGTATTAAAGAAGGCAACTTTGAAAAGTAAGTATCAGTGTGTGTGCGAGGTTTGTTTCTTGTCTCTCAAAAAAGTAAAATAAAGAACTGTTCAGTAATTAGTTGCTTATTGTTTATTTTTATAGTTCGAGATCGAGTCAGAACAAAAATGGAACGTAACATACTTGTCGATGTTAGACATCCATTTATTGTCAGACTTCACTATGCCTTCCAAACTGAAGGAAAGCTTTATTTAATATTGGACTTCTTAAGAGGTGGAGACTTGTTCACAAGATTGTCAAAAGAAGTAAGTAATGATCTTCCTCTGATAAAATAATACTACTGCTAATATTTTTAAAAGAGATGATAACCTTTTAATGGTGTGGCTTCTTGACTGCGTTCAGGTCATGTTTACTGAAGAAGATGTCAAGTTTTATCTGGCTGAGCTAGCGCTGGCGCTAGACCACATTCACAGCCTTGGTATCATATATCGTGATCTTAAACCAGAAAAGTACGTCCATGTCGTTTGCATCTTTTTTTTGTGTCTTCCTCCTCTGGCACAATGAAATTCGCCCACGTTTTTAGTTCTAATTTGAGCAAATTTTTATTTTGTCTCAATCTTCTGTTTTCAGCATTCTCTTAGATTCCGAGGGACATATTTCTTTAACAGATTTTGGGCTCAGCAAGCAACCGTTAGACGATCAGAAAGCATACTCCTTCTGTGGAACTGTTGAGTATATGGCCCCAGAGGTTGTAAATCGGAAAGGACATTCCTTTGCTGCTGATTGGTGGTCATTTGGTGTGGTCATGGTATGTGAATAGAGTTTGTTTGCCTTGTATGCTTTGTCATAAATCTGCTCATAACTCTAACACTGAAACATTTGCTTTCAGTTTGAAATGCTGACTGGAGCACTACCTTTCCAAGGCCCCAACAGAAAAGAAACTATGAATCTAATCTTAAAAGCAAAACTAGGAATGCCTCAATTTTTATCAGATGAGGCACAGTCATTATTACGGGTACTGTTCAAAAGAAATCCAGCCAACAGACTGGGTGCAGGTACTTTCTCCAAATTTCTGTGTACCACCTAGATGATCTCAAGTATTACTTAAGTCAATAATAATGTATATTTTGGGCAACAGGACCTGATGGAATTTGTGAAATGAAGTCACATTCCTTTTTTGCCACTATTGATTGGGACAAACTTGCTAGAAAAGAAATACTACCCCCTTTCAAACCTGCAGTTTGTAGAGCAGAAGATGCACGATACTTTGACAGTGAATTCACTTCCAAAACACCTAAAGGTATGTGTAAACATGTTTTCAAGCATTATTAGAAATTTGACTCTGAATGTCAATTAAATATTACTTAATTTTACAGATTCTCCTGGTCTCCCTCCCAGTGCAACAGCTCATGAACTGTTCCGTGGGTTCAGTTTTGTAGCCCCATGTCTACTAGATGAGCAGGGAATTCCAACAGACAGACCAATGGAATCAATATCAAAAGTAATAAACATTTCTCTCCTGGATTTTTTGTTTTTGTATAAGTTATTTAAAAAGATAATTTGATGTATATTTTGTTTTTTTTAGCAATTAATGTATGTAAAAAGAAGTTCAGTCACAGACGAATATGAACTTCGAGAAGAAATTGGCAGAGGTAGTTTTTCTATTTGTCGTCTCTGTGTTCATAGAACATCTCGACTAGAATATGCAGTTAAGGTATGTTTTTTTTATCTTTAATTTCTGTTGAACATTTTTAAAAAGGTGTTTTTTTAAATTCTTTTGAATCAATCTTTCTAGTTTTTCATGTTGTAATTTATTTTACAGGTAATAGATAAGTCAAAAAGAGATTGCCAAGAAGAAGTAGAAATTTTATTGAGATATGGTCAACACCCTAATATTATAACTTTAAGAGATGTATGTAATGTATTTTTAAGGTTTTGCTTTTGTAAATTATTCATTTCAATCTTCTCTTTTCTTCAAACTGAATTTTGTGTTGCAATTTCGTAGGTCTATGAAGATGAACGTTCAGTCTACTTAGTGATGGAACTCATGCGTGGAGGTGAACTTGTGGAACGCATAGTCGGACTTAAAATATTCTCCGAGCGAGAGGCGGCTGCAGTGTTGAATACCCTTGTCGGTGCCATCCAGTACCTGCATCAGAATGGGGTAGGTGCTTGCGCGAAACCCCGCATTCCGTCCTTGATTCCGGTACCCAGTGACTTGACTGAGCACGAGTTTGCCGTCCAGGTGGTGCATCGGGACTTGAAGCCCTCCAACATTCTGTACGAGTCGGAGAGCATGCAGCCCGAGTCGCTGCGCATCATCGACTTCGGCTTCGCCAAGCAGCTGCGCGCCGAGAACGGGCTGCTCATGACGCCGTGCTACACGGCCAACTTCGTGGCGCCCGAGGTGCTCAAGCGGCAGGGCTACGACGAGGCCTGCGACATCTGGTCCCTGGGGGTCATCCTCTTCATCCTGCTGGCCGGGTAAGTGGCAGGCTGGCGAGTGCACCGAGAAGAAGGAGAAGGGGAGGGAAAAGTAGGCCGAACGAGGCGGCGCCCTTCGCTCGCCTTCCGGGAGTCTTTTTCGTGGCTCTGTCTCTCTCGCACCTATACGGGACGCCCCATGCGTGCGAGAGAGACAGAGCGACGAAAACGACTCTCGGCGTGGCGGCTGCAGCAGGAAGTGGGGTGTGGAGTGGCAAAGTTTGACCGGGGGAGCGCGCGACCCGCTAGGCGGCTAGGCGCGGCAGGGTGCTTGGAGAAGGCCACCTTTGATCTCCCGGCTTGTTTGGCTGGCGGAGTGTTCTCTCGGGGAGGCCAGCCGATGCGGCACCCTCTCGACGACGCGCTCCAGGGCTGGTGATGCGGCCCGGTGATGTTCAAAGCGGCGCGGCACCCGTCGTTAAAGGCCCTCCAAAGCAGTGGCACAAACACAAACCACAAACGCAGGGCGCAGGGGGACGCACTCGCCATTTAGGCTGTCTGCCTGGCGAGGCGGCTGAGCACCCTGAGTGCCGTCGTGTGTCCCGTCGCTTCCCTCCACCCCCCTCTACCCTCGCCGAAAGGTCACGTCACGTGCCGCACTATCGCCTCGCGTCTCGCTGCGGCACGTCGTCTTCCTCTTCATCATGTTGCGGATCGGGGGGCTGCATCCGCCCACGCCCCGCAGGCTGATTCCGAGGGTCTTTTTCGTCGCTCTGTCTCTCTCTCACTCGCGGGCTGCCCCGCTTTGGTGCGAGGAGGACAGAGCGACGAAAACGGCTCTCGGAATCAGCCTTTCGCCCCCGCGCCGCTTCCCCGCCTCGGCCCTTTCGACCACATTGCCCGTTCCGTTTAATGCTGGCACAATGCAGGCCAGTGCAGGCCCGCCGTGCGTTTATGCGGCTGTTCGGACGTAACGCGCTTTAGTGCTCGCCCCGTGCCGGCTCTGGCGAAAGGGGTAGCGCGGGTGGAGCTCCGGCGCGCGGCGGATACCCCGCGCTGCGGAGACTCTACGCCTTTGGGTCCTACCGGGGGCCGGGCGCCCCCCTGCGTCGCCCGCCGTGGCCGTGGCCTTGCGCCCCCGCGCCTACCGCCTGCCGCTGCAGGCTGCAGGTTCGGGGACGCGCGGTGGCGTTTGATGGCGTGGCCGCGGTGGCCGCGTGCTGACAGGCGCCTTGATGTGGCTGGCCAGGCCCGCCGCGCAGCGTGCAGCGTGCAACGCCGTGGTCGCGGTGCGGTGGCGCCTGGCCTGGCGCTCGCGCTGCCTTGCCGCCATACTCCGCGCGACGAGGGCGGCGAGGGCGGTCCCCCGCCGCGCACCGCAGCTGCCGGGGCTGCCGGTAGATGTCGCCACCCGCGCCGTGTCCTTGCGTCCCCGCGGGGGTGGCGGTCATCGGGGCGGCCCGGCCGGTGTTGGTTTTCTCTGAAGGTGTTGGCGGCGATGACCTGTGGCCGGTGTGGGCTGACGCTGCTGGCGCGGTGGGCGCGCTGGGCCTGGCGAGAGGGTCAACCGCCCTATTCGTCACCATTGAGCGAACGGCCCATCCCGCCCCCACGTGTGCCGCCTCGCCGCCGTGCCGCCTCATCGGGTATTCGCGAGGCGTGGACGGAAGGGAACGGGCGGGGCGGGGCGGGGCGGGGCCACCCACGGCTTTCCGGAACGACGTGCCAGCGCGCGGATATGTTAGGGCCTGATGTGTCTCAAACTTGCGGCATACTTTTCCATTTTTCCCGCGAACTGCCGCGACTTGACTCACTCGTCTGCGCCGCCCCCGCGAAGCCACTGTGTGCCGCTCCACTCATGGATTGGGTTTTCCGTGAAGCGGGGCTGTGCTGCGTTTGATTTGATGAAAGCGCCGCCCGCTGCTCATTTGCGCTGCATTTAGCCCGACGGTGGAATTGACTGAGTGGCCGCGGGGCCGCGGGGCCGCCAGGCCGGGATCGCCAAGTGAAGCAGAGCACATCAAAGCGGACGTGGATTCGACGTGGATTCCGCGTAATGGCGCCGTGTCTGTATGCAGCCCGCGCAGCACAAGGCTGGTTCCGAAAGCCGTTTTCGTCGCTCTCTCTCTCGCACTCATACGGGACGCCCCGGGAGTGCGAGAGTGACAGCTCGGAATGAGTCTGGAGGCTGCGGGCGAGGCTACGTGCCGACCGCCCCTGGCCGTAGGCCTAGCACTCTGGCTGATGCACTCGTTGTAGCTGGCAGTGCGCCTCGCAGTGCGCGGTGCAGCCATCGGAACGGAATGGCTGGTCGTTGTATGTAGCGCGGCGGTGGCGGCGGAGGCCCTGGCCGTGCAGGCCCTGGCCAACTTGGCCGACTACGTCAGAGGGCGAGGCTGGCAAGGCTGGCGAGGCGATGCGAGGAAATGAAATGAGGGCCGTCGATTTGCCACTTCCGCTCGGAGCTCCGCTGCTCCGCAAGCGGCCAAGGGAGCGGCCCACCTCGCCCTCGCGCCACTGGGCGGGCAGCGCCAACATCGGACTGGGGGGCGCCCCCTCAGCCTTTCTGCCGTTCGCTTTCGGGGAAGTTTGCTCCCGCGGCCACGTCGGCCACGTCTGTGTCTGCAGCGAGGAAACAGGCGCGTCGGAGTGAAAGGCCCGGGAATCAAACGTGTGCGAATGGCGGGGAAAAATGGTGCGCGGGCGTCGGGGCGGGCCTGCGGGCCTGCGGGTGGTGGTGGGGTGGTGGGGACGCGGAGGGATGCAGTCCCATCGGAAGCCCCGCTGATTTCGTCAAGTTCGGCAGGGATTCGGTTGGGCGGGGTGCGGGCTGCGGGCGGACCCGTGAGGCTGGCTGCCAGCGCCACCAACGTCGCCAGCGTTGCCGTTTGCCCTCTCGTGGGGAGGGCTAGGGCCCCCGCTAGGGCCCGGCTAGGGCCGGCCTTGCTTGGCGACGGCACCGCGGCCCTGCCAGCCCTTCCGTCCTCTGCCCTCCCTGTCTAACGAACCGGCTGTGGAATCGCGGGGACGACGGCACGGCGCCACCCGGTCTGTCCCGGCCCGGCCCGCCCGGCCCGCAACGGGTTGCCACACATTGCGTAACGAAATGGGAGCGGTTTGGACCCCGCCTGCCCTGCCAGGTTTCTATCCACTTCACCCTTCCCGCAAGCACGACACGGAACTGTCAACCTAAACCCCGTCAAGCTGGCGGCGGTGTGACGTCTTACGTGGCCGTGTCCGCCGTCGCGGTGGTCGTTCTTGGCAGGGCCGCCTGAAGATTGGTGATTCAGCGGAGCGGGGCTCGACAGGCGGCGGGGCCGTTCCACCACGTTCCACTGGGCCGTTGGGCCGCGGCCGCCCCCAGCCGCCCCGCGCGCCGCTCGCGATGACACTGCGGAGACATGGCGGTAATACTTCATGTTGGCCGCGGCGCCGCGCGGCCTTCTCGTGGACCTTCGCGCGGACCGTCTCCACTCTCTGGGATGGGAGCGTCCTCGAGGAGGGTCTCCTCAAAGTAAAAGAAAGTGGCGCGGCACGTCCCACGAATCGGACCGCTGCCGCCCCTTTTCTCCTTCCCCGGGCCACACACTGGCCCTCGCCCTCGCCCTCGCCCTGGCCCTCGCCCTCGCCCTCGCCCTCGCCCTCTCGGAGCGGCAAGTTGAGCAGCCGGCCGGGGACAGGAGGAGCGGCGGCGTCTTTTTAAAATTTAAATTGCGGCGAGTCCGCTGTGCCCTGGGCTGTGCCCCGTGGCCCAGGGCGTCTGCGGCTGGCTGGCTGGCCGCCGCTTTGTGGACTCAAGGGGGTGACGCCGGAGCGTGACACCGCACTGCGACTTGTTAAAAGCTGAAAGAAGACGGCAGCCGCCTCGCCCCCCTTCCCCGGCCCTCGTCGGTGGTTTCGGGTTCAAATCCCGCGCGCGCGGCCAACTTTTTTTTCTCTCTTTTTGTTTCACGGCCCCCGACGACCTGTGACGCTCGGCGGGGGAGTGGCGCTTACGGCCCCAGGGTGGTGCCCGGCCCGGCCAAGGGCCCCACCAAGGGCCTCGCCAAGGGCCCGGCCCCTGGGCGATAAGCGGAAAGTGGCTCTGGGCGCCGTGCCGGGACGCGCCGCGCCCGGACAGCCCGGACACGCCGACGCGATGCTTGATGCTTCGACGGTTTGTATTCCGGTCTCGCCGGCCGTCGGGTCGCGCCCCGCCACGCCCCGCCTCTCTGCCTGGAATCATAAAGTTATTCCCTGGCGATGCCTCCGCCGCCCTGCCCGGCCCTGCCGCTCCGGAGCCTTCGCCTTCCCACCTGCCCTGCCCCGCGCCGCCGCCGCGCCGCCCACGCAAAGCATGCCCGGCCCCGCCACTTTGCAGGGAGGCGACGGCAAGGACTGCAGCGGGGGCCGTCGAGGGGCGGGGCCGGCGGGGCAGGGGCACGTCCCGACATTGTGCCGGGGATGTCCGTTCTGGGAGGAGGCAGTGTAGTGTCCGAAGTGCAGCGGCCGGGGCTGGGCGGGTCCTGGGCCGAGGCTGGGCGCGGAGCCTGACCGGGGCCAAGCTTGGCGGGGGCGGGGGTTGGGTCGGGCACTCGATAAATAACCTCGACGGCCTGACGGGCTGACGGGCAGCGCCAGGAAGCGCCAGGCAGCGACTCGGACCGCCCGTCCGCACGTTCATCCGGCCTCTCGCCACGATATGAAGCAGCAGACCGAGAGTCGTTTTCATCGCTTCACCTCTCTCGCACCTAAAGGGACGGCCCTTGAGTGCGGGAGAGACGGAGCGACGAAATGGACTCTCAGTCGGCAGCGCCGAGCAGCCCGCCGGGCCGGGCTCTGGCTGGCGCCCTAGCGCGGCCGGGCTATGCAGGCTATGCGACGCGCTGCCCTGGGTGTCTGTGTGCGTGGGCGTGCCGGGGCATGCATGCATTATGCATTTGCGTGTATGTGAGCGAATGAATGAATGTATTCTAGGGAAGCGCGTCAGTAATGTAGGGTAGGATTCGCGGCTCCTGGTGCTGCTGTTGTTTTTCTTGTTGTTGTTGCTGGTGGTGCTGCAGTGGCGGCTGCGGGCGCGC